CACATCTTTAAGTATGCTTCAAACTAAGAGATCAATTATTTTGTGGTTCATGTGACATTTATCATTCTGTGTCAAAGGAAGAGCCATTAACAGTAAAACCAGTGATAGCGTCAGACTTTCAGACACTATACAAGATTTCAGATACGAAATGGTTAAAAGTTATTTTGTAAAAAAATGGAAATTAGACTTAAGGCCCAACTCTAACTTTTGTCAACTCCTCAGATGGGTTTTGCTTGGTCTTGCTCAGGTGTACGCCTGCTATGTTAGTGTGTAAATGTAATGAGAAAAACAAATATGCAGAACCCTTCTATGTGACCCCATGCCTGTCCTACTTGCTTTATTCGGTTAAGAAACAGGAAGTGGTGGTGCGGTTATTACAGTCTGGAGTTTGAACCCTAGAGTCATTCCACATCCGCTTGTAGAGCCAATCGTCAAGAACTTGAAGTAAGCAATTTTTTTTGCGACTTTATCAGTCTCTCACAATCTCTCACAAGAGGTGGGGGAATGTTGCTTCAGTTCATTTGGTGACACAGCTCGCTCAAGTCTTTTCTTTCCCATCCATTCTGTTGTAGTTTTGTTGCTGTGCTTGGGATCATTGACCTGTTGCAGGACCCGCTTTTGCACGATCTTCAGCTGATAGACATGTAGCCTCACATCTGACTCTGGTATACAGAGTAGTTCATGGTCGAGACAGTGACTGCAGGATGTCCAGGTCCAATTCCAAACCAGTCTAAACCATCACCCCTCGACCGCCTCTTTGTCCTGATATGCTGTGTTTGGTTTTTGCCAGATGCGGTGCTATCCATTAAGACTAAACCTCTCCAATTTAATTTCATCACTGTTGATGTGTTTCGTTGCTGGCATTGTGTAAAAGACCTGAATGCTCCGGACCAGCAAACTGGCAAAAATTCGGCTTTCAGACAGGTGGTCACGCTTGCTGATGATCATTTAATCAAGAGCATTTGATTAACACCTACTTCCCCATTCCTATGGAAGCAGTAAGAGTGTACTTCATTTTCCCACACACTGCTTCTGCATTTCAGCTTAATGTTTGTTAATTAAATAATGACATGGTGTAAAATGACATGTTTTTTAGTTCACTTGAGGTTGTATTTACCGAAATTTAGAACCTGCTAAGGACCAGGTTATTTTTAACATGTCCTGATACAGAAACTCTTACAATAGAAAGTGGGTGTGCTTTTGTTTTCAAGTGACTCTACATTTGGAGTCTTATCTCAGTTATTAAAGTGAAGAGGTCTTAACCTGTACAGAATCAGATTTTAATATTGTCAAGGAGAGGTTCACTTAAAGTCCATCTTAAAATAGTACTCACACAGCTATTTCTCTGCTCAAGTTACTCTTTTCTCTGATCCATGTCCCTACTGACTTCAGAAATATCTATAAATCTATGGAGCTGACCATACTGATAAATGTGAGGTTAACTGGAAATATTCTCTTCCATTTTTTTTGTGTTGGCTGAACAATAGACTGGCAATCTGTCCAGGGATGTAACCCGCCTCTAACCCATCACAGTATATAAGAGATGGATAAATGAATGGATGGATGGAGAAACTCAAAGGTATAACCTTGAAACTAGGGAATGGTTTAATTAAGGAAGTTCAGGCAAGAAAAAAAAAAGTGTCAAATTCTCATCAAAGTTGGTCCTTTATTCACAGAGGGTGTCACCAGTTGGGCATCCTACCAAATGTGAATAATGGTCACTATTTCGCTGTAAGAATAGTTTTAGTGAGAAACTTCCAGAAAATTATGAAAGTGAAGCTTTGACCTTTCGGATTTAAAAGCATCATTATATTTTTTATCCTATTAGAGATTTTTGTGAAATCTAACTATTTTAATGCAATTAATTCATCCTTCAGCCAAAGCGAATGTTTGTGCCAAATGCTAAGAGCTTTCAAAATGCATTTCTGAAATGACACATTCAAGAAAAACAGAAAACAATGAGTCCAGCATTGACTGTCACCAGAGGGGATGGAAGAAAAATAGCATGGCAGAAATTAAATTCTGCCTCCTCTGACTAAACAATGTGTGTGTCCCGGCTCTGAATGTTGGATTGTCGATTTCCTTTTTTTGGATTCAGAGACGGTTCGATAACAAAAATAAAGAAAAGAAAAAGTGCTGATGCAACTGTTCGGGCTCTGAGGCATGAGGGCGTTTTCAAGCCTGAAAACTGGTCCCGACAATCAATTTTCCTTTGTTGTTGCAATTATGACAGATGGCTAAGACGTAGCCCCATCCAAAACATCAGCAGCTATTTACATGGAGACTGGGACAGGACGCCTCCTGTTGAGTTTACACTCAAAACACCTTCAGGCATTTTGCAGGAAAGACTCCTCTGACCCTTTTCGCATTACACACACACAAAAATAAAATAACCTGACAGTACAGACGGAGGTGCCATCTAAACACATTAGAAATGGTTTTTTTCTTCTTACTGGATATGAGCTTTTCCAGAGTTCAGCGGGCACACGGGACGACATTACACAGAACACATTAAAATAAAAAAATAGATGGTTTTATAATGTAGAAGAACATTAAAAACACTGCTGGATACAGAACTGTGCTCACAGGGCACAGACCTGGTATGAGCAGTGAAATATTCTGATTGCTCACAGACAAACGCAACATAAACTTCCTATTCAGTTGTTCTCACTTGCCCACCGACAACAAAGGGACGCCTTTTTAAATCTTATATGAAAGGAACAGAAAAAAATGTCACCATTTACACGACGCAAACACAAATGCATGACTGAATTTGGTACCGTTCTCACAAACAAAAATAAGTTCAGAACATAGTCTCAGTACCCTCCAAGTTTATTTTTTCAAACATGGTTTTCCATTGAAGTTCTTCAGAAAAACACTTAATCTCTCTAAGAGCAGGGCAACGGGCCCAGCAAGCAGCTTTAAAAACCTTTACAGGCTTCTGTTAAATGGCTTTCTAACATCACTGAAGCAATCTTTGCTGCTATAAAGTTCTTCAAACATGTCACTGGATGAATCGGCTGCCAAAACAAAAAAAAGAGGCTCCTTTTATGCTTTGACAGATAATTAATCGGCACTTCTTTTCTACACAACCAACTAAGATCTGCATAACCAAGGTGCTGCTGATCTTTGACAAAAATAAATACACCAAACTAATTGTCCTAACCAACTAAGCACATGCATTATTGTCAGATGTTTTTTCCTCCAGCATTAACAAACCTTCTCTGTGAAAGAGAAAGATATTAATTTTTAAAAATCTCGTTGCATTCTCTCTTTATAAACTGACCAGATTTATTAGGCCTCTTCCGCTAATAACCTGCTGAAGATCAAATTGAACATGTGAATAGGGAAGAAATGTGATTTAAGGTGGCGTGTTTGTTGATGCAATTTGGACCCGTCTGAGTATTTTAGAAACTGCTGATCTACTGGGATTATCACACGCAACCATCTCTAGGGTTTACAGCGATTGGTTAAAAAAGAGAAATTATCAAGTGAGCATCAGTTCTCTCAGTATAAATGCCTTGTTTATCAATTTACACATCCATCTAGTATAGAGTAAAGTTTGCCTGTCCTCGTCCCTGCTTTGGTAACCTCTGGGTAGTGCAGTTTTCTCACACAATCCAAAGACTAATGTGAGATTAACTGGTCATTCCACAATTGTCCATAAGTATGATTGTGCACATGAACCATCATCTGCCCCTCTGTGTTAACCCTGAAACAGATCAGGGTGTGCTCGGTGTATTACAGAGACAAAGCCCCATCAAAGCAAAAGCCAGTATCCTCCATTCAAAGATCGACATGCATAAACTGTTTCTCATCCTGAGAAAGTTTTACAAACACCCGTTATCAGTTATCTGGACCTGACCAAATGCACACAAAGATCTTTCTTGTAGCTTTCATGGACAATGCTCAAATGCTGTTAAATCTGCCAGTCCACAACTGTGTAAAAAATTCAGCCCATTTTCTAAACCACCAAATCACCTGAGACACAATAGCTTTAGGGAATTCAAGCAGCCTGCAACTATCACGCAATCAGGCCACAAATCCACAGTACACAATCCTTAAAATGATGAAGGCCTGTAGCGTGCAGAACATATGCCCCCTCTCCTGTGCTAATCAGAGTTTATAGCTGGCTGCTAGTTTCAATGTGTGACCAGTCCGCTGTCCCCTACAGTGCATTACCATATGCTTGATAAAAGCTGGGAAAGAGATCTCCAGCTTCAGGCTGTGTGCATGGCGGCTCGGTGTGCTCTGATGGTCATGCACAGCGATGCAACTAAAAATTTTCAGTGAGGATTCAGGTTCACTGGTTGTGCAGTTTTAAAACAACAAAAAATCCTCAGCTTTATAATAATAATCAGGCTTTGTCTCTACTGCAGGAGATTATTAACATAGACTATACATAAAAGATGGATACCACTGCTGTGACTTCACCCATAGTCTGCGCACTGGCCTCATTTTAGTTTTTTTAACTAGATATGACCATAACAGGATGTGAGTGTTTACCGGGATATTTACCAGCTAATACTAGTTCTGTCTAACTAGCTTGGCTGTCGCATTATAGCTGTCATTAAAGGGATTATAACAACAACAAGCACCTACTGAGAGAGAGAGAAAAAAAGAAAAGAAAAGCTAAACACCTGACTCTTTACCGCATCTTTAAGAACACATGAAGCATGTCTTTAATTCTAGTTTATAATTTATAGATTAGAGGGCATAACTTTAACCCTTAAAACTATTAAAACAGATCAGTGATCTAAAAAAAAAAAAAAAAAAAAAAAAATCACTCTTAGTACAGATGGAGAGGTATAGGCTGTAATATTTATTTATCCTTTAAAGCTGTGTATTTGGGGATTTACTAAAGTCAAGTCAAGGAACTTTGGTTTCTGACTTTATTTAAAGTCCTGAGGGTTTCTGGTTGATTAATACAGTCTGTATGTAAAAAAAAGACTATCACAGGTGACGTTTATCAAGTAACAGGAAATTAAGAGTCGTCTTACCCTATTCTGAACGTAGTCCATGATGTTTTTGAAGTCCAAGTCATCGTAGTAGTTTACTATGCCCTTTCGAATGTTCTTGTTCAATAAACGTTCCGCCTGTGAGGGAGTTAGAAAAAGAACGCAAAACTGTGAATAGTACAGGAGAGGAGAAAGTCAGATTATCACATCTGTCAGTGGAGCTTTACAGTTACTTGTATGTGTCAAAAACCATTTAGTTGCCATTTTCGGTGCTGTATGAAATGTCTTTGGGCCGGCACGTCCTCTAAGCAAAACGGCAGTAGTCCATTTATGGTGATGTATTTGTCCTCATCCTGTTTTAATAGCACACTGCATGCTGCCCAACAGTTACAGTATGTGGATATTGTTAGCCTTAAAACGAAGCCACAACTCCAAATAAAAGCAGAGCCAAATATAACCCATGTTTTTGAAAGGAGAAGCTGCAGGTTTTATTTGTAGTGTGACTTTCAGGGTTAACCGTGGAATTGCATTAAGCTTTAATAACCAAACATAATCATGACTTGTTGAGCTTAATCAACATTTTAGGGGATTTAAGGATTTAAGAGCTTTGACTGTGCAAAATTATGATCAATGAAACAGTTTTGATTTTTTTTTTTTTAATGTTAGAGCTTTTATTCCTCCTACTTATATATTTTTTTAAAAAAAGCAGCCAATTGTGTCTCAAATTGTGTGTGTTGTGTACCAAAATACCCTCTATGTTAAAGGGTATTTCAGTACACAACAATCAGTGTGTCAAACAGGCGCCTGCTGAGAGCAAATGCTATCATAAGTCAAGGTGACTGATTCACTGAACCAGGATATTAAAATGAGAGAGAACTTGACCGCTCACATCTGTCAGTCACAATCTGGTGCTGTGGGGTTACATTAAGTTTAATATATAAGCTTATACAGTCACTTGGCATAAATATTTATAATTTGGAGGTCTCTTAAGAGAATTTTTTGAGAGCTTTTCATTAAATGTTTTCATTCAGGGAACGGTTCATTTACTCCACTAATTTCTCCACTCTGTTTCTGATACATTAGTCTTATTTATAGTTCATTGGCGATGAAAGCGACAAAGCGCTGTTTTTCTTTTTTACCCTTTACTTAGGCCTAATATTGTTCCTTTATTTCATTCTTCGAAGCACTGCCGACAATAACGAATCGAGAATGCAGCCTCCTCCATTAGGGCCACAGAGATTAAAAGAGATTTAATTTTTCATTTCATTTCTTTTCTTCCCCTCTTGAACATATCAGGTGTTGACAGTGGATGTACTGGGACAAGGCACCCACATTTAAACCAAAGTACGATGTGCACATTTGTAGAACGAGAGCTCAAAGGGCATCATCTCCTCAAACAGGATGTTAATTAAAACGGGAAGCCAAAAAAAGTATGTAGACTTTCAAAATGTCTTTTTGAAAGTCTACATACTCCATCACTTGGCCCATTTTCAGGGATTCTTTTAAAGATTGAAATCTCGATTGTGCTCTCAACATTTCATACGTGCAACCTGTTGAGCCACATCGTAAAAGTACGCCTTGTCATGAAAATCCATATGCATTAAGATGGTGATGCAGGAAATGGAAATCTGTTATAGTTGGTTTTACACTGAACAGATTAAAAATGTGACCAGTGTATCACTAAGAATCAGTCAGTTAATCAGTGAAATTAATTTCACTTTAATTTGGCAACCAATTAAAACAATTTCTATGTTTCCTACATGAGAGTGTCAGACCTGAAATGCAATCAGTAACCTTTAATGTTCATAAGTTTCAAAGAGCAGCACACAGAGCATAGTGAGGGAATTAAATAAATATAACTCAAATTCAAAAAGATTAATGATTAATTCATTTTTTCAACACAAGTGGAGCCTTTTTGTGTTCTGACCAGAGTAGGTGACCTTCAGTTGTACAACTTTGAGCAGAGGAGGGTGAAACAAAGAGTCAAGTTCCAGATCTTATGTTTGTGAGCCTGAAGTGGAAAGCTTCATTAACAAAGAATGTCATCTGGGAGGTGGAGGAATTTCAGTTTCACGTCTAAGAGGCTCTTGCTGGATGTAAGTAGTAGATGTGATTTTCTGTGTCTGTAGACAGCAACAGATTTGTGATTGAATTTGGAGTCCAGGGAGCGCTTTTAAAGACCTTCTATGACTCTTTGGTGGCATCTGTCATTTTTTTTACAGTGTTGTATGTTGGAGCAGCGGTTTATCGGCAGCTGAGAGGAAGAGGTTGGATAAACTCATCAGGAAGGCCAGCTCTGTTCTGGGATGCACCCTGGACCCAGTGCAGGTGGTGGGAGACAGAAGGACTCATCTCTGATGGATAGAGTCTCCCACCCCATGCATGTAAATGTTGCTGAACTGCAGAGCTCCTTCAGTGACAGACTGCTGCATCCTAGATGCATGAAGGAGCGTTTCCGCAGGTCCTTCCTCCCTGCAGCTGTCAGACTGTACAATCAGACCTGCTCCCAACAAACATAGATGTTTACATCTGCGCTGTAACTGCAATAATTTAATCAACCGATTTGCACAACCTGGTTTGCCTCTTATCTGTAGTTAATTTTATTTAATTTAATAACGGCACTCTGTTTATAGTAACCCATTGTCCTTGATGTAAATATGTAAGAAAAATTTTGTATGTTTCTGTTCTGTGTCCTGTTTGTTGTATATGTGTCTTTCTGGCTGCTGTTACAGCCAAATTTCCCCTTGTGGGACAATTAAAGGATTATTCTATTCTGTCATATATTCTGACATAAAAATGAAAATAGATTTAAATAAAACACAAGCCTTTATCATGAAAACGGGTTGAGCCTCAGGGAAATTAAAGTTTCCATTGTCATTTGTTTACCCGTGTGTCTGAAAGATTAGGCAAAAACCACTTGGCAGAATTTATTAAAACTAGGCGGGGCTGTGGACAAAATTATGTGGTGTGGAGTTGTTCTCAGCAGAGGACGGAAGGATTCTTAAGCTCTTCCCTACAAATCCACATCAAGATATTTATGAGAGTGAGCTATTTATAAAGAAAACCCAATGACGTCAGGATGTTATCAGAGAATTGGTGATGTTTGCTTGATTAACGTGAATCTTGTTTTGATCATGGCTCATATTAGTTATCATCCTCCACCAGTTGTGTTCTGTGCAAACCTCATTTCTCAGGGCAGGACTAGAGGCTAAGCACCTAACAAACTTATTCTGTAATTTTAATAACCATTAACACCATCCTGTTTTTTCCCCTCAAAATTAATTATCAAAAGGTTTTCATTTAACAAAATTATATGAGGAATTTTATGCCTAACGAACACGGCGCTGTAACATGCAAATGAGAAGGAGATAAGTCATGTCAATGTTATCTCCCCCTTCGTGCCGGTTATGGTGTGTAAATGATCTGTGACTCACGGTGCGTTGTGCTCTCCTCTCAGGTGTAGCTGGTCTGGTGTGATTAACTGAAAAGCAATAAAGAGGGGGCAGGACCCTTTGTGTGCTTTCCTTTCCTCTACACACCGTCCAGCCAGTGCAGCGGTAATTTTTGGTTGAACAGTTGTTAATTATTTTGTGTTTTGTGTGTGTGTGTGTGTGGGGGTTTTGTGTTTTTGGTTTTTTTGATGGGTCCAGAGGGTCTATTTTTCCTGCTTTATTTCTGTTATGTTGATTTTGATAAAGAGGACTTCAGACACTACAGACCCTAGATTTACTGGCTTATCTACCTTCTGTTGTTAGCCCTTCTTTAGTAATTATGATTAAAAAAAACAAAAACAAAAAACAAAACCTTGCAGCTTTAACTTTATAAGATTATTTTTTAGACCTCTTATCTAGAGAGGCTTGGATTACAATTAAAAAACTAACTAAAAAACAAACAACAACAAAAAACGACATATTTACATCCAGATCTTGGTTTTTTTTGTAATTCTGCTTGAACAACCTCCTTTAGTTTGAGCCAAAGTTTATTTTAAATATACAGAAAATTATTGTTTACATAACATCAAATTTAATCCATGTGAAGTGGACCCATTTTCATTATTTTAATAAAAGCATAATAAACAGTGTTGTTGGAGTACAGAACCCTGATGCCTCATTTACATCGAGTTAAATCATTAAGAGGTGGAGGTTTGATAATTTGTTTCATATAAAATAAATTTTACAACATGCAGCCATAATTTGTTGTTGTTGTTTTGTTTATTTAAGAATTTGTTGATGAATCAAATGAGCCTCCCACAGTGTCTCATTTTGGTCCCCTTTACACTTCATTTAAAACTGAGCCTTCCCCATAAAAAATAATAATAAAAATCACAATCCTGATGATTAAGCCTCAATTTCTGTTGCTTTTATTAACAACTGCCTTTAAATGGCGCACCATTAAAATCTCTTGGTACGGCGCAGCAGCAGGAACAACCTCTGGAAAATCCAACAGCACAGCAAATAAAGGCAATCGAGTTTTCTTGTCTAAACAGGATTCATTAAAAGGTGCTCTACACTTCGGGGTTGGGGGCCTCTACATTAGACAAGACCCTGCATTTTGAATCACCCACCTGCAGTGCCTTATTGCAGACAGTTTGACATTCAACACTGCAGTAATTTCCAACAATCACTGACTTTAACTTTCCATTCTTTACATTTTAACTATTTGGAGTTTCTAAGTCATGTAAAGTTGCTCCTTTCTGGTTTAAAAGTATTGACAGATATGATGACCTATGCTGGAAGAAGCCAGAGATCATAAGGCAGAGACAGTAAGCAGGACCAACAGGAGAACTTAAGAGGGAAATATTAAAAGTGCAAAATACAGAGACATTGTGAAAGATGACATAAATATCACATAGACAACTGATAATTCTACATACTCTTCTAAACATATGAATTCTGATCCTGTGCAAGTTTAATCTATTGTATTGGTCACAGGAAAACAGCTTTTAACAGCTTTATCTCATGTTAAAGAGAATAAGACTTCAGAAATCAAATTAAACTACATAATGTGGCTTTACTTTTCTTGGCTAGAGTGAATCTCTTCCTCGTGGTAAGCAGACTGTCAGTGTCAGACTGCTTTGGTTGTTATCTTGCTCCCTGCTACGTGAAATAAAACACATGCCTTCACTGCCCACCTGCTGAAGTCAGAGGATTTCAAAATGGTAGGGAACTGATTAACACTTGAGGCAACTCACCTGGTTGCGAAACACCAGCCCCAAGATTGCTCCAACCAGCTCCAGGAGCAGACACACTGCCAGGGTGTACATGAACTGTGGTGCACCAGACAAGAATATGAATTTCATTGTTCTATTGAGTTCAAGCATATCCCCCCCCCAAAAAAAAAATAAAAAAAATTGAGATAACGTTTTCTAAAGTGCCTTTGTGTGCATCTTTTAACAGTTTGTGTATTGTGTCCATACAGAAAGACCTTTCCTTCCTATCCTAGTTAATCTCTAAAGCAACCAGTGACCAGAACACTCTGGTCTTGCTCTGTGCTTTCATAAAATCCTGAATATAGATGCCATCTTCCCATGTTTGTCTTTTCCTGCATCTGGCAGTGACTCCAGTTGTTTAGTTGCTTATTAAGTAATTTATAATACAGTGTGTCTTGATTTTTCACCAGTCAGTTCATTGCATTTCTTCCTATAGTTTTAGTACATAACAGAAGCAAAAATTTAGTACATTATGTCAAATGACTCTCCTTAGTGTAATAAGCCATTACTCACTCCAGCTTAGAGACCGGTGTGAGCATCCTCCAGTCGCTAGGGAAAATATACATTGTCTGACTGGTTGCTGGCGATGAAATCAGTTGCAAATGTGATGCTGCACCAAATACCTCCTATTGATTGTTTTGGTTGCTAGCACGTTGCTACAGCTGAAGTAAAAGTTGTGCTTTTATTTGCGTCTTTACAAATAACAATGATGCAAAGACAATTTACAATACTTCACCACTCACCACTTTCAATAGAGTTATATTATCCCTCAGGGAACCCAAGACTCCAATGAATGAAACAACAAATAGGATGATGCCCAGTAGGATCAGGATTATAGATGGGGCCAGAAACACACCCTCCAGTGTCTTGTACTGCTGTCGCTCTACTTCTGCATAGATGCCAATACCCAGGATACATCCGCCTATTAGCTGGAAACACACAAGCGAAGCAGTTAGGACAGATTAGTCATCAGCTTGAACATGATGGAAAACCAGCAGGTTTCTAGATTCGCTCAGTTTCTGCAGATTTAAATATAACTACGAGAATAAAACATTCAGTGGGCCAAAGCTTAATTTCCACAATTACATGTTCGTCAGCTACCACTTAGCAGGGAACATTGAGGTGGAAAAAAAAATGGAAAGTGCTTAGACCACTAGGTCTCAAAGACAACAGAGAAAGAGACGCGTACAATACTTAAGTTTAAGGTCATACATATTAGAAGGAAAATACAGCAACATTACTTTGTCAGACAGGTTCTATTTAAGTGATTTCTTGATTCAGGAGGTCCAGCAGTAATCAGGGCTGGATATAGCTAGTGAAATTGAACTTTGCTTCCCCCCAAAAAACGTGGTTATCACAGTCGATGCTTGATTTAACAATAAGGCAATTAATATTTCGAAACAGGGACAGATAGGTTTGGATTTTTGTTGATGCTGGAGGCCAGAGGAGAAAGGCCAATTAGCTTTGAGTTGACAGGAAGGTAACAAGAACTCAAACAACCACTCCTTGCAACCACAAAGATGGGCCACAGTGGATACATCTACCGTCAGCTAATAACAAGTCACACAAACGTAACTGCTGTGACATCACCTGTTGGTTAGTGTAGCCCTCACACTGTATGTGATGACCAGGAGGTGAATCGGACTAAGAAACCAAGAGACACTGCACACTCATATTATAGCAGTTTGTAAACCACACGTTAGCCTCACCCTAAAGCAAATAATTATAAAATGCAGTTTAACAGGACTTTCACACTGACTTCACTTTTCACACCAGTAAGCTGTGCCAGTCTCCCAATCTCTCATGTACAGTCTATGGATGATGGTCCATGTGAGTCTGTCTGATTTAGACAGAAACCTCAACAACAAGCATCTATATGCCTATAAAGCATAAAGTCTGCACCTCAATCAAATCATGAATGTTTCATTTAAATTCCACTTTGGTGGTATACAGAAGCAAAAATGTTTTTGTCCATTTCTAAAGCCAATTGTATAAAGCGTTTTCATAGTTTCTTTATCAAACAACAAAGAAAGAAATCCTGGCAAACACTGACATAATTATAGGCATACCCTTGTAGAGCTACAAGGGTATGAAATTTCTCCCGAAGAAGAAATGATAAATAAATTAAGCAATTATAATCTGTATAATCGCCAGACTGTAGTGGACTATGGTAACAGATAATTCAGCGTTATTATTGTAAATACTAGTTTCTTAATTAGGTTCTCTGTAGTTTTGTATAGTCTGACACATGCACGCACACAGTGTCTTTGTTCGAGTTTCCCTTCACCACATTACTCCAACATAATTCAACAATCAATTCAAAAGAACATTTAAGAACCATCAGTGCTGTGAAGCAAATTGCCTAGATTGTTTATACACAGCCATAAATACACACTTTTCTGTCTTTGTCATTGAAGAGAACTGAAAGAGAAGCAATCTTCAGTTTTAAGTTCCCAAGTAACCAATCATCCATATAAAAGTCATCACATCAGGATGGAGAAGGCTAGAGTTTTCCCATTAAAGACAAAAGATGGGTAGAAACGAAACAGGGCACTGGCATTACGGACTGATAATTGGAAACTCAGCAGGATGTTCCTGTGAAACAGAGCAGTATCACATGAACAAAGCAAACTTTCACAAATAGCAAATTATATTTCTCGACAGAAATTAGTGTTTTTTGTTGTTGTTCCTTTTTGTGCTCAATGCTATAAATTTCAATTCGATTCAAGCGAAACTTGCAAGGCCGGTTTAGCTCAAGAACCTCCGTTTAGAGTGGATTCACATAATTATACCTCAACATAGGTATATTTTTAAACATATAAAGACCAACAGCTCCATTATTCTTTCTGTTGTGTTGTGAAAGAAGCACTGTTGAACAGCCACATACTGCTGCACGCCAGCTGAGTAATATATCACAAGAAGGCTCCTGTGTAGACATTAGAATTGTTAATGAGAACCCTAATCAAAAGGTCAATTAAGTCAAATTAACAGTGGCAGAAGCTATTTAAGCAATCAGCAAACAAACCTGTCAAAGTCTAGGAGGAGCAAAATGAGAGAGGGGAGAGCGCAAAGGGTCAGCTCACCCAAATTACTTGGGTTTTTTTTTTTTTTTTAACACAACACAACCCCTGCACAGAGAGGAGCCGGGTCAAGTGTGTAGACGTCTGAATGAGTGGTCGGTCTCGATATAAAACTGTTTTTTTGTTGTTCCCTTACAGCAGTGTTTCCAGCGCTGACGTCCTCAGGTTTCTGCATCTAAAATGACACCGTGAGGAAACTTATCACCACCTCACGTGACGCTGTTTTGAATCCTATCTTTAGAAACGACAGGCTGTTCTACTGTGTCAAAGCAAGCCTGTGTGTGTGCTATACTCTTCTGGCTCACTTTGAAAATGTTTATTTGTTTATTACAGACACACTTTGAGCAAACTGCACCATATAACCTCAAATATTTGGCTTATTCTATGCATATCAATCTAGCTAATAAAGTGCTGTGAAGTATTTCCCCACCTTCTGATCATTATCATTTGTAAAATGGTCACATCTTTCTTAAGGAGTACAGTATTAGGGCAACATTTTAAAAAATGTATATATATTAGTGATAATTTTATGCCTTGTGTAAATAAGTTAGTGAAACAAACTGATCAGCCATCTGATTGTGTCTTGTGATTTAACATACATCCTGTCTATTGCTCTGTCCACTGCCAGCTATTTCATTGTGTACAAATCAGGCCAACTCCTTCAGGTTTGTGTACTTTCCTTCTGACTATTGTAGCTTTCTGCACCATCTTTTCTGCATCCTTCTATTTATCACCACACTGTGTTTATGTGCTAAAGAAGAAATAATTTTCTTTTTACTAAAACCAATTCTGAAGTACGATTTCACTAACTCATCTGCAGTTATCTTAAAGATGGTATAGCAGCTGCAGCACTTTCAACAAAGGGACAGGGATCTCAATAAGCATCACATCATGCTGTGATCTAAAGAAACTCAACAATAGCTGACGAGGACTGACGAGACAAAAGTTTACATTTTTGAAAGGTTCGAGTCCCGTTACATCTGGCGTAAAACTGAAGCTTTTTATGAAAACGAACATCACACCAAGAGTTATGCAGAATGGCGGTAGTGTCACGAAACGTCTAAATCCAAGCGAGATACTTTGGCCTGACTTTTAACAGGTTGTTCGTTCTTTAAATCGTTCAGTGTTGCTGAATTAAAGCAAGTATGCAAAGAAGAGTGGGCCTAAATTCCTGCACATGGAAGTGAAAGACTCATTAGCAGTTGCTACAAATGGTGGCAGAATTAGATTTAAGAGGCAGTTACCTTTCACATGGGGTCATGTATGTTTGGATAACTTTTTTTCCCCCTTTTCAAAACTGCATTTTGTATTTATTCACGTCATCTTTGTTTGATGATCTGAAACATTTAAGTGTGAAAAATATGCAAATAAACAAAACAAGAAAAAAAAATCAGTTATGGGGCAAATGCTTTTGCACTATATAAAACTAAATTTCAGTCTGAGAACAGTGTTTCTCAATAACAGCAGCTAAATGTTAACAACTATGCATTTGCTGAAACAAATTTAAATGCCCAGGTGTGTTTCAACAATGACTTCCAGGCTAAATTAAAATTAAAAGAGCCATTTATACAAACTCACTGACTGCCAAATAGCACATGGCACGTCCTGAAATAGGATCCGGCAGCTGAAGTGGAAACTGGCCAAATTGCAACAATCCATTTATACCGATTTCAGTTATTTGGTCTGTTTTTGCATGTTGGAAGGGTTAAAATGAGCACGACTTCTTGCAATATTCACCCACATATCCATTACCAAAAAAACAAGCATTTTCTCTTCTGTACCCTGAAAAAAATAACTTTTCCCATTTCATTTTCAAAGCAATGACTGTAATGAAATTGTTGTTTTTCTATAATAATTGAAGCTTGTTATCAGGAAGGCTGCTACTGAGAAAACATAGAAGAGCTGGTTTATTTTTCTGCTTGTGAGGTATGCTGTAAACAGACAAATTTAGGATATTTGTGTTAAGCCACCTGGCGCTATCCCTGGTACTGAATAGATCAGAGGAGGAAATGGAGAAAACATCGCTTTAATTCTGCCTTGTTGGCTTATTGTGGACAGAAATATCAAAGTAGCAATGTTTCAGAGAGAGAGTGAGCGAGAGGCAGAGGGAAATGCATGGCGTGAGCAGAGAAGCAGACTAAACGATCCGATAATCACGGCATATTGCTTCTGCAAACACCATTGTATGACATATTGCTAATTGCTGTTTGCCGCCATCCCCCCTCCCAATCTGATTTCAGCCATCCTGTGAGATGCACAGCGCATCACAGCAAAAGAGAAAAAGGGGGAGGGGGGCCTATGCAGATTTCAGAAGGTCCGACACTGTTTATAATCCACCATGATGCCTTTCCCTTACATGTCCCTGCTTGGTGTCTGTTATGGTCTCTTACTGGCCGCTGGCCTGTACGCCACCAACTCGCTTCCATTCAGCCAAGAGGAGAGGAGATCACTTAGAGCCTTTTAAACAGCAATTTGAAATTTCTGCCAAGGATAGAATATGTCAACAGTCAAGAGTGATAATCTCCACAAAGAGTCTGTCTTGTTTGAGGATCATTCTGATTCATGCAAACAGATTTCTAACAAACGTACTCGGGAAAATAAAATAAAACGGGTCACACACTGTTTATCATCATGCACTTAGCTGCAGATGGCTCGGCAACAGTTTCAGGGCATTAGGCCAAGATCAAGTGGTAGTTTATAACCTATTACACTCTGCTAAAACAACTTCGTGGTGCTATTACTGGACACAGCTCACAGCTATAAAGGCATGCAGTGCAGCTTTGAAACCAGGGTACAATCTGTAGACATAGCACAGACAGAAAAGGAAAAGAAATGTAACTTTAGGATTG